TAGATACGTAAGGAAACTAGGTTTCGATTAATCTCATGAGATAAAATTACTAAGGAGATCTGCATTTGTATGAAAATGCATGAAAAAGAGATTCGTAGGTTGATCTTACCAGTAGACGACGCCTGAATCATGTTGTTCTACAGCCGTTTGGCTTTAATACGATGCAGTCCACGAGATATCCTCGCTCGCTTCTGGTGAAAACTAGCTGAGTTTTCCTTCATCATACAATGGACATCATCAGAGTTGGAATTCATTCTTGCAAAAGTCTTGCGTTAAGGCTAGGTCAAGAAGACTATTAAGCTCCGAAATAAGGGATGATGTCTCGTAGACTGCGTCAAACTGAACGTCATAGTAAAGCTAAACGGCTGAAGTACAACGGGATTCAGCCGTTGTTTTCTGGCTAAATCAATCAACGAATCTCTTCTTCATCCACTTTCATACGAAATGAAGGTCTCCCAAACAATATCAGCCCTTGATTACATAAAGCGAAAAAGGATAAGTACATTCCATATATATAATTGATCTAATGGTATTCTCAAAAAACCTATATTCTGCATTGAAGGATGATTCGCTAATTTATTTTCCTATGGAGACAGCTGTAATCAGATCCGCTCCCTCTTTCATTAATCAACTTAACTCTTCTGCATGCATGTAGGACAAGCATAAAGCAGCCAACTAAATCATGGAATGCATCAAGTTCGCAAGATCAGATAAAAGAAGTAGAATCTCAGCCGGCCACCTTTCTTTGTTTGGTGTTTTTTGGTGATTGTTCGTGAATAATGGTTTATAGCTCTGACGATGTCTGTTACATGACGGACGAAAGCTCAGCACGGAGTCATCGGGGTCGTAGGACGGTGAGCCGAGGTCTTCTTCAGACAATCTAAAGGACAAAAGTCCAAGACAATCCTCCTTCAGTATCCGATGCGACCAATCGACGAATGCCTTCTACCCGCCTTCTCAAACGAAATGAAAGGTATGCCAGTATCAATGCAACCAAAATAGACGCCACATCATTTTGATCGTCATAACCACGATATACGTGCCTAAATGAAGGTATGAAAATGACGTAGCCTCATTTTTATAGAATATGTCCGGCCTCATATCCGCGACTTTGTATTCTTGCCAGGCTGTCCTTAGTGAGCCCACATTGTCCAGAGTTTTCGGCCATATTAGACTGGGAAATTTTCAGCATTTGGCCATGGATTTGGTACCTTCTCATAATGCCAGCGGAACGGCTGAAAATGTACCAAGTCCATGGATCCGTTCTATACGTTGACATGACTACTGTGCCAAGGGATTCTGGACGATGTACGCTAATTGAATCCGCCGTGGCAGCGAGACCAAAATGCGCAAGTGAGGCCATACCAGCTTGGTCTTCATATCTTCGGGTAAAACACAGCTTTCGAGGTTGTCTTCTACCGGCAACCGGCTTGCCAGGCCCGTGTGGACAATCGGCCCGCCTTCTCTGGCTTTTTCTCCAAGCCCTCCCGACAGCCCAGAGCCCATAGCCTTAGCGAAGAGGAGAGGCTGCGTCAAAAGGGCCCACCTCTTTTGGCTAAATGGCACAATAATCAACCCAAACGCCCCAAATCTCCCACCTTTTACTTAGACGTCTGTCGACATATCGTTAGCGGCATGTGTGGCAACCAAGGGCATTTGGTAAGCCCAGGCTATTCGCTCATATAACTTGGCCCATCTGAGTTTGTAAATGCATGTCTATCACCTGGTTTTTCAAGATTCTGCTTCATCCCACTTGATACTAGTGCCAGAAACAGCAGGCACACCCACATGCACACACTCAAGCACCAACAAAAGGAGCCAAACATCAGATACACCCAGTCGCCTGATCGATGCGAGAGTGCGTCTCGGCAACTTTGGTATCCTCTTCCCTAGTCCGGCTCTCGGGAATCACCGGCATAGTAGACTCGGTGAATCAGGTAGCCTTGGTACTGCTGGATACAACTAGTACATCCGGCCGCACATCCAAGGCATGCAATCTTCTCGTTCCCGACTTCTTCCTTCAGGACCGTCTATAAGGAGCAAGACTGATCCCACCAACTTCATGGGTAGAATGAAAAGCTGGATCTCCAAGAGTCCTTCATTGAGGCTCTGAGCATTGCGATCGTACAGACTACGTAAAGCCGCGTAATAGAACAAGCATAAACAATGGGCAACTAAGCTACAGATTATGCAAGAAAGAGCACAACTGATTGGTCAGATCCGAACTTGAAGTGGACCAATAAGTCATTCCAATTAGTCTGTAGGAAATGGACAGAAATGGTGTTTGGTGAAGACCTCTTAGAAAATCGGCCAATGGGGTTCCAGGACGGTGAACCGAAAACGTCTTCACTCAATTCAATCTTCCTTGGGTTCGCGGTGAAGCCAATATTTCATGCGATCAAATAACATAAAGAAGACGAAGAGGTTGGAATAAAGTGTGGATTAATGATGCTATGTCACCTGAACCTCTGTGATGAGAGATTTTCGGCAGCCAGAGGGTTCAAAGTGCTCAGGCTGGAGGTACAGCCTCGGATACAGGCTGGTGTGTTGTGGGTACAGAAGAAAGGGAAGAACACATAAAGAACCGAGCTTCGATTGGAGAAAACGGGCCTCGGGAGCGAACTTACCGAGTCACTAACCGTGACCAGCACAGTCTGGCCTGTTCCTGGTCCAAGCGGAGGCGGCTGGTGTCCTCGCCGGCGAAACGAACCAACACATCTTCGCACAGGCTCTGGTAGTTGGTGAACTTTGCCTCGCCCTCTGGCAGACGCGAAATGATGTCCTACGTGAGCAAAAGAAACAGTGGCATAAGTTGAGCCAATGAAAGAGGCCGATTAAATAATGAGATTATGAGGATATGAAGTTATCCAACGTCTTTGACGATACCAACAAGGTCTGCACACTTCTGTACAGCCAAAGGAGATTGAACAGAAAAGCCACCGC